CGGGGCACTGGGAGAGAGTTTACAGCCAGTCGGCTTCAAGCAGACCTGGGAATGTATCACAGGAGGCCTTAAACCAAGAAATGCCTGAGGAAAGCTCAGAGGAGGATTCACTCAGGAGGTAAGATATATGCTTGGCCTTCCTCCTCTATTTTTTCTTAAACCTTTCACATCTAGTCCAAGCTTTTCAGTATTTTCAAAGTTAAAAGTCTTTTCTCATGTGGTCATGTGCTATTTATGTAGATAAAAATAGAGATGTTGCATTGATGTCTTTTGTAGCTGCCGTTGTCGTGCTGCAGATAGGTTCTGAGGGCGTCTGTAAGGGCAAACACCAGACCTCTCAATGGGAAAGAATGGTGGTATAGACAGGCTAAAGTGTGGGCTCTGGCAGCAGATCTCTGGGGAGAACTATGCTCCTAGTGTTTCCCAGACACTGCAGAAGGGTGGGAACACAGAATGTGCTATGCTGTCGCTTGTGCCACATGCCATGCGTGTGCTGCTCACAGAGAATCTGCCCCAGGGTAAGCATGAAAAAGTGGGCCCAAATAGTGAGAATTGCCTTTTTGAGTGCTGTGTCTTGCTGAGGTTGTAGTTGTTAAGTTGGAAGGGTTAACAATCATTTCCTTGATGTTGCCGTATAGGGCAAAAAAAGTCAAATCTCCGTGTCAGTGGTTTGGACATGCACCTTGGTTGTGAGTGTTCAGTCAAACCTATGCAGTTTGTTTGCTTTTGATAAAGAGGTGAGTTTTGAAAGTGGCTTCCATTGACCCTAATCTAGGGTGAGTTGGTCGGGGGCATGCTGATAACTCAAAATTTTAGGCTCTGCTGTATTCTTTTCTAAAAAGGTGATTCTTTTTTGGAAAGTTTTGTTTGTGGGTTGGTTTTTTTTCTGTGTATATATACTTCAGATGTGTTACAGGAAACAGAATGAGCCAAATCAAACTTGGGCCAGGAAGGACCTGTGCTTTGTGTGAGTGTCTCCACTGGCTTGTATGGACAATTCAGCTACATTGGTACTTTGGATAGGGTTTCGCTGCTGGGTTTCAGTTCAACATCCTCTCTCTGTCAAGTGGTTTGTATGCTTGTCAGAGGAAAGATCCAGTCTTGCTGTTTCTTGGAAATGGAGGCTTTGTCCTGTAGGAAAGCAAAGTTTCCAGGTTGGATGCAGATATAACTGACTGAGGAGGCTTTGTACACAGGAGTGCCTGAGGAAAGGGAATTCTTTCCTTCTTCCTGCAGATAAGCTTATTATACTCAGGCTGGAACAGTGACTGCCTTTCTTGTTGCTGTAGTTGCATAGCAAATAAGTGGTGGTGGTCATGAAATTATTCATCTGCTGCTAAATCCTTGTCCCAGTTTGTTTTATAGCCTGCCATAATGAGAGTCTCAAGCTGATTACACGGTAACTACTTCTTTCTTGGGCCTGGATGTACCTGACATTAAATGTTATCCTCTAGTCCCCTATTAAAAGGCAGAGAGGTGAAAAGGAACTGACAACTTTAGCTTTAAAGTGGCACTTGAGTAAGTCTTGCGTTATCTTACTTTTGAAATAGTTGTGCATGCTCATAGTGTCTCCACTGTGTTGCTTGTTCTCTGGACCGAGTCACTGTAGTGTCAGAAATAATGGGGGCAAACACCTTTTTATTGATCAGGCAGTTGTCACGTATTTGGACAATGAGGTGTGGTGGGATCTGTAGATGTGATCTTTTCTGCTGGAGTCATATAATTTAAAAGTGCCCTGAGGCATATAACTCAGTCCACCCCAGTGTGCAGGAGCTGTATGGGTTGCTGTCTAACAGCTAGAGCCCTGTGACTAAATCTCTGGGTCCCTTGGCCTGTCACCCATGGTGGTTGCTGCTGCCTGCTCAGTGGCTGTAGCATCTGTGCAGGGTTAGTTGCCTACCTGATCACCTATGCAAAACAGTTGCTTTTTGCTGGGACATTAATTTGGAGTGTGTAGTTTGATCCGTGACCTTAATTCCAGAGGAATTCCTATGAGGTGAAATCTTCAGTGAAACCCTTTTGGCAGAGGTTGTCGAGAAGCTCATAGGGACTCTTGTTTTCCCAGCCTGCTGCTTCTGTTAGCAGGCCTTTCTAAAGAACAGGCGTGGCAGGAGCTTCTGCTTCCCTTCTAACTGAAGTTAAGGTAACTGTCAGAGTAGTGAGGTAAGGAAGCTGAGAGCAGTGACCACTCCGGTGTTAAATGCTCATGGTAGTTTCCTTGAAGTAAAACTTCATTTTCTTTCCTGTTAAACATGTTGGGTGGACTTGTGGTGAGCTTTCTGAAATCTTTCCCCTTTGTCATGGTTTAACCCCCGCTGGTGATTAAGCAGTGGACAGGCAGCCGCTCGCTCACTCTTCCCTGGTGGGATGGGGAAGAGAATTAGAAGGGTAAAAGTGAGAAAACTTGTGGGTTGAAATAAAGACAGTTTAATAGGTAAAGCAAAAGCCCCATGCACAAGCAAAGCAAAATGGGGAATTCACTCACTACTTCCCATCAGCAGGCAGGGGTTCAGCCATCTCCAGGTGAGCCGGGCTCCATCATGTGTAATGGTTACTTGGGAAGACAAAGGCCATCACTTCGAATGTCCGCCGCTTCCTCCTTCTTCCCCCAGCTTTATATGCTGAGCATGACGCCATATGGCGTGAAGTATCCCTTTGGTCAGCTGGGTCAGCTGTCCTGGCTGTGTCCCCTCCCAACTTCTTGTGCACCCCCAGCCTACTCTCTGGTGGGGTGGTGCGAGAAGCAGAAAAGGCCTTGACTCTGTGTAAGCACTGGTCAGCAATAACAAAAACATCTTTGCATTATCAACACCGTTTTCAGCACAAATCCAAAACACAGCTCTGTACTAGCTACTGTGAAGAAAATTAACTCTATCCCAGCCAAAACCAGCACACCCTTAAAAGGAATCCTGTGTGGGACACATCTGCAGGTGTAATTTTTTTCCCTTCTCAAACTAGCTGTTATATTTTTCCTTATAGAACAGTAACATGTCAGCAAGCATGTATTTGCATAATTTTTGCATAGAATGAACATCCTCAGGTCCAGCCTTCTTGTCTCCCAGACCTAGGGCATGCCCCCACAATTGGAAGTGCTGGAACCACTCCTGCACGGCAGAGTCCAAAATGCCTGTTAATCTCTGCAGCTGCAGAAGCGCGCAAAGATGGTGACTAAGGTTCATGAGATGTAAGCTGTGTAATGCGGAAAGTGCTGGGGAAATACAGGAGGGAAGGTAAGCCTTCAAGCCTGAGGGTGCAAGTGATAACTGCTTACACACTTTCAATCGATGTAATTTTGTGGGTGTCAGGTTAGCTCTTAGTGTTGGGGGACATGCATGTGTTTGCTTGTAACTGTTTTATATTGTGTTCTTCTGTGTTTCTCCATTAGATGTCCTCATTGGTCAATTGAGCTCTGCATTTAAAGGCCCCCTGAAAAACTTAAGATAAAAATTGCATCTGGAAACCTTGTGTGTATGTTCTCATTCCCTGTCTGTGGGCAGGATCCATTCCTTGACCTGGCTTGCCTGGCTGAGAAATACCTTGCTGGGAAGATGTTGCCACCAAGGGTCAATTAAGTTAATAGGTAGTTTAATGAAGACTGTTCCTCTTTGAATTCTGTTGATGCAGTTATGCCAGGAGGCTAGGGAGAGAATCCTGCTCTTTCTGATGGTGCTGGGCTAATTATCTTGGGCTGATCATGAAGGGATTAATAAGCATGTAATGGAGCTATTCCTGACTAACAGCTCTGGCACCTCTTATTAGGAGGAACATGTCACTGAGAGCCTCGGCAGTGCAGCAGTCCTGTCACATTCAGCTTGGCCTGAAAGCAGCACAGGTCTTGAGCTGTGCACTGCTTGAAGCTGTGTCAGTGAGGTATGAAATTGGGGAAGGCTTATGGTCTGCCTTAAGCAGAAGTTGGTGTGACTGAGCTTCAACTTTTCTGAGGTTCTCTAGGCTGATCACATTAATTAAAATGTAGGTGGTTTCCCACTGTGGATCTATCTTTGCTTCACTTCTAACATCAAAGTGAAAAGAGCGTCAGAAATCCCTGAAGTTGTCGTGTGAAATGTGCTGCCTAAAGTTGGTGATAGAGGCTGTTGGCAAGATCTGGATGAGGGAAGGATAATTGAGCAACAGATGATAGCTAGTTTAACTTGCCTGTGACTTCCTGTTAATTAAAAAACAGGTTGAGGAAGCATTGTGTTATTACTGTAATCTTCGTGAGGGAAAAGATCCTGTAAGTACTTTAAGCCATTGTTGCTGTGTGGGCCAATTCACGTTGATAATGAAAAGTTGAGTAGGGAACGAAAGCAGATTCTTCTAGTCAGCTGCTTGTTTGAGAGGAGCTAGTGCCACCTTCCTAAGAAAATTATGTGTAAAATCTTAGCAGTGGTCTCCAGTGAAAAGTTTTTCAGCTCATCGTTTAATGACAGATACAGTGCAATGCTGTCTAATAAAATTGATCCAGATCTTCAAATGTCACTTCTGGTTATTTTAATATGATACAAGTGATATGTACAGAACTAGTGTGGTATTTCATGAAAAAGAAAATTCTCTGGTTTTAAATCTAGTGGCATTTCTTGGTTCTGGCATGGCACCCCAGCCCATAATCTTTCTAAATGGATTCAAGTAGCAAGTAGTGCCATGTGTGTCCCTGTTGACATATTTCAAACCTTATTCTGTGAAGCAATCCGTAGAAAGGGGGGAAAAGAAGTGCACAAAGAGAAACTTATGCTATTCAAGATTTAGCTGCTTGTAGTATACTAAGGGGGCAATTCTGATGTTGTTTACCTGTCTGTTTTGGCTAGAGATATAAATGAGTTACTGTCCTATTGCCAGGCAGGTTTGCATGAGACCTGTGTTTCATGAGGAAATGCTTATTATCCTTATTCTTCTGTTAAGGACCTTTGTCTGGCAATTATGTTAAACTTCTCTAACCACTCCATTGCCCTCATCCCAGAGGTCAAATTCTATAGGCTGTGGTATGAGCAACTTCTGTGCCTGTGTCTTAGCAATGCATAATGTTTTTGCCTTGCCTCACCTGTTTAGTTTGGCAGAAAAGATAGACTATTTTAAGTTATCTGAAAATCTGAGAAGTCTTTTGAACTGTCCCAGGTGATG